TGGGGCACTTCACAGAGCGGGTGTTTATTTTTATTTTTATTTTTATTTATTTATTTTTTTTACATTTGCATTCATATTAAACATATTTTCACATTAGTGATGTTGTAAGTAGAAATTCAAACCAATAGGACGAACCACCAGAAAGAGGAAACAAAATTCGACAGAAGAGAAAGAAAACAGCCATTCGGCTTCCATAGTTCTTTTTTTGGGTGTGGACAGCATTTTCCATCACGAGGCTTCTGGAGATGTCTTATATCCTTGTATTGCTGGGAAGGGTTATGTCTATCAATATTGGTCATCACACAACATGGCTGTTACTGTGTCCAACGTTCTCCTGGTTCTGCTCACTTCACTCAGCATCAGTCCATGCAAGTCTTTCAAGGTTTTTCTGAAGTCAGCCTGTTCATCATTTCTTATAGGACAATAGTATTCCATCACATTCATGTACCACAACTTGCAGAGCAGGTGTTTAATTGATGCCTGTGGCACTGACTTCTTAATGTGCTGGAACATCCCAATATCAAAAACCAGAGAAGACAGCAGCAATGTATTTCTTGGCACTCATTAGATCTGACTCTATCAGGCTCTTGGAGCTGCTGACAACAGTATTATATCAGGAGGTCAATCCTGGACCTGGTTGTAAAAACCAGTACCATTAGGACACCCTGCAACCCCAGTGCAGAAGATGCAGAAAGGACAGACATCTGACTTCCAGCGTGATCACCTCCTCCAAGGCCAGTGTACCGGCAGACGGCAGAGAAGAGGGGCGAGGACCAAGCCATCAGGCTGATCCAGGGGGCTGTAATCAGGTACAAAACCATCTGCAGCTGGTCCCCGGGTATCAAGGGTAAACGTCTGGTGTGCTCACCTAACAGATCAGACTGAGTTTTTAACTGAAGCAGACTCTTGGCCAGTCTAGGAGGGGGAGGCATCTTTGGAAGGATGGAAGGGAAGGAGGAACAGATAAAGGAAAGGAGGGAGGAAGGCAACGTTTATTCAGTGCCTGCTATGTGCTAGGTACAGTACTAAGTGCTTTATAGATATCTCATTGGAGCCTGACACTAACCCTGGGTTTTCATTGTTGTTGAGTCATATCTGACTCTTCGTGACCCCATTTGGGGTTTGTGTGGCAAAGATACTGGGGTGGTTTGCTATCTCCTTCTCCAGCTCATTTTACAGATGAGGAAACAGAGGCAAACAGGATGAAGTGACGTGACCAGGGTCACACAGCTGGTAATTGTCTGAGGCCAGATTTGAACTCAGGAAGATGAGTCTTCTTGACTTCAGGCCTGAATGTTAAAAATCTCCCCATAAAACAATGAGAAAGAGATCACATACCCCTCAACTGATTGTTAGCCAAACAAGGGGCAGAGGCAATATGAAAGATCAAATTGAGAACTTTGATTTTGTGACACTGAAAAGCTTTTGCACAAACAGAAGTAAACGCACCTGGGACAAGAAGGGAAGAAGCTGATGGGGAAAATAATCTCTATCAAATAGCTCCGACAAGGGTCTGGCATGCAAGAGATACATGGTGGCCATAAAGTTTGTGCTATTTTAAGCTTAGAGCATTGTGGTTTAAAGCTGCACTTTGGAACATCTGGAACAGATAGTTAACACCAATATGTAGGACCAAAAGTCAGCCTCCAAGTGACAAAGTGGTCAAAGGGTTAAATGCTCCAAATCACTAATAATAGAGAAATGCAAATTAAAACAACCCTGAGGTTTCATCTTATACCCAGAAAATTGTTCCCCCACCAAAAAAAAAGTCAAAAGATGGGAACAGTTAATGGTGGAGGGACTGTAGGGAGATAGGCATACTAATACATTGTTGGTGGATCTGCAAAGCAATATAACCATTCTGGAAAGTAATGTGGAATTTAAAAAGGTGAGTAATAAAAGATCTATAGCCACTGTTCCAGAGATTCCACTGCTGGGCATATGCTACAAGAAGATCATTGATAAAAAAAGGCTCCATTTCCACCAAAATATTGATAGCAACACTTTTTTGTGACAGTGAAGAACCAGAAGCCATTGTGGGGGAGAGGCAGGAAGCAGCAGGATGTACATGGCACAGGAATGTAACACAGTATCATTGCTGGGCTGTGAGGCATGAGCATGATGTATATAGAGAAGCTGAAAAGATGCAGAGCCAGTAAAACACTGTATACAAGAAGCATAGCATGAAAAGAGAAAAAGCCACCACCCATCAAAGCCGAATATCCAAAATGATAAAATGCAGGGTGTCCCCAAAGAAGAGAGATGACCTCTCCTCTCTTCTACAGAGACGTGTGTATGTGTACGTACATGTATGTGTGCATGCATGTGTACATGCGTGCACACGTATGTGTGTGTACATGTGCATGTACGTGTGTGTGTGTGCGTGTGATGCCCAGTTTGAAGAAGCCTCTTTCTCCACACCCAATAACTCTAGAGTTCATGTCTGTGAATAGGGAGAAAAAAGGATCCACCAAAATTCTGGCTTCTAAAAATGCCACAGCAGACCCAGTGGACACAGGGTCTTTCCTATCTTTTCCCACTTTTCCCAACAGCCCTGGGAAGAGGGGGATGGGCACATGCCCATTTGACAGATGTGAAAACCCAGGCAAGGTGATGAAGGTACTGTTGTAACAGAAAGCCTAGTTACAGGAAACCAGCAGCATAGTACACCAAGGGAGCCCTCCCCCATTCCCCATGTTCGTCCTCCTACCTCACCCAGTCTGTTTCTCAAAGTTCTCAGGTACTAATTGCCACCAAATAAGATAATCTTTGGGGCACAGTGCCTGGCATATCAAAGCTGCTTCCTAAGTGAGCTTGCTCCCCTCCCCTTCCTCATTTTTTGTGGCAGAGCAATTTTACAGATCAGATCTTCGTGGAACTGACTGCCCCAGGGAATGCCATAAGAAGGGGAGGGCAGCTAGGATTTGGGCCCAGGTTCTAGGTTTCCAGATCTGGCACCTGAGCCCTGCCTCTAACAAATGGCCTCAGAACACTCGTGGCAAGCTAATAATTGGCCAAAAGAGGGAATGAGTGAATTGGCAGATGAGGGAAATGCTAAAGGTTCACAGAAGCAGGTCTATTTATTTATTTATTTTTAGGCAATTGGAGGTTAAATGACTTGCCCAGGGTCACCCAGCTAGTAAGTGTCAAGTGTTTTGTCTGAGGCCGGATTTGAACTCAGGTCCTCTAATTTCAGGGCTGGTGCTCTCCCCACATAGAAGCAGATCTAGAAAGGACCTGAGAGCTTCTAGCCCAACTCCCTCACTTACAGAGAAGGAAACTGAGGCTCGAGAGTGGAATGACTCTCACTGCACATCGAGTCAGAAGCAGGATCTGAACTTGGTTCCTCTGCCTCCAAGTTTGGGACTCTGGGCTTGTCGTGGTGAGGTCCCACAGCAGACAGGCCAGGGCAGGGCCTGAGAGCCTATTGACAAATAGGCCAGGCTGGAAGTCTGGGCCAAGTCAGATGATGAAATGTCATGGCATTAACTCAAAGTTTTATTTACCCGGGGGTCCAAAGAACCACCTTCTGAGCTGGCAGTTCCCGTGGAGTCAAGGCTGCCAAGGAGGCTTCATGGCACGCTTCCCACTGGACTCTTCCCTGGCTACGTCTGTTGCCAGAGGCTGACGAGGCGGCTGCTCTGGGCCAGGCTAGGGGGTTGGGGTATGGCTGGAGGTTGGTGCTCGGTGCTGGCCGCCCCACTCTAGGCAGGAGGCACGGGGGTCTGCCCTCTGATGAGGTCAGCTCCTAGAGGGATGTCAGGGGCCCCCAACAGAGCCCTTCACAGCACCTGAGGAGGGAGGAGGACAGCCAGCTTGGCCCAAGGCCAGGGCATCCGTCCTCCCGCTAGCAGTGGCTCTCGGGAGAAAGGCAAACTCTTTTCCATCTGCAGAAGGGTGGCACGGTGGGGATGCTTGCTCTGCTTGGCCCGAGGAGGTAGAATGAGGAAAACCTCCCAGCAGGGTGAAAGTGATGCCAAAGCAGTCTGGGTGCCACACGAGGCCATGGTATTGTGCACCGAGGCAGCACCATCCTGTTCAGGACAGTGAGATACCTGGAGCCAGCCGGTGTGAGATGTTCCATCAGCTCTCACAAAAGCCTGCCGTCTGAAGTCCACAGAAAACTGACCCTATGACAAGGTCGGCAGCCGTTCCCCAAGACGCAAGCGATCAAAGAACATGACCTACAACCCTAGGACAAGAAGAGCACGTTTACGCCCACCTGCCTGGCCGAGACGGTAAAAGATGCAGAGACTGTGCTGGGACGGCCACGGGAAGGCAGGGATGGATGCTAGCACATTGTTGGTGGACTAGCAAATTGGTTCTGGCATGTCATAGCTAAACCCATTAGCACAAGGTTATAGTCACTATTTTTTCTGGGGGGGGGAAAGGGTTGTGCAAAACACACCATTTTGTTTTAAAATATGAAAGCAAATGCACCCCAACCCTTGCTGAATAAGGCAGGCGGCAGAAGGGTTTCCACGGTTGCCCTCTCAAGGATGACGGCTTGATGTTTTGGAAGAAGGAATCTCCCCTCCAAGAGCCCATGCCCCAACTGGAGGAGATCTGGAGGGTCGAGCCCAGGCTTCTCACTGTACGGATGAGGAAAGTGAGGCCCAGGGCAGACATGGCCTGTCCTACCAGCAGGGCCACGCCAACCCCATGAGATGTGGGTGAGGGCACAGCATTGATTCAGGATCTCCCCCAGCCCTGGGGCTGCAGATATGAAGACAGAAGGACCAAAACAGGCTCAAACACTTGAAAATATTTTTAATATGGCTGACTGAATAAATCCACATGGGTTAAACCGGGGAAAGGCCCCTACATTAAAAAAACACCCCACTGGGCTCCAGAGAAGCTGGTTTCTAATGTCTTATGCCAAAGAAAGATTTCTCTAGTTTAAAATCCTATTCCTCAAGCCCCAGAGCATGAGGAGAATGGTGGCCATCACGGACGGAGTGATGACCCGGAAATGCCCTCCTGAACAAAGAAGCACAAGGTGAATTCAAACCATTTATTGTCATTGGCCATCCCAGGCCGGGGTCCTCTCCCTCCATCCCTCCCTCTCTTCCTCGTGCTGCCCACAGTTCGATCCGACATTCCTCCGTCTCCCCAGGCACCAGGCGCTGCTACGAGGTCTCCATCTTGTATCCGTGCTTCTCCAATTCAGCTCTGGATAAAAACCAAAAGGACATCGTCAGCAACACGCCTGAGCACACACAAAGGTGGGGCAGGGCCCCCAAAGGTCAGTTAGGAGAAGTTCAACAAACGAAACCCTAAAAATGGAGGAACGTCAAAGGAAGACCCCACAGAGGGGTGGGATACCAAGTGGAACGGCCTCTTCCCCCTTCAAATATCTTTCCATGGTAGTTCTCAGAATTTTACTAAAATGTCTGGGATTTACCGATGTCTTCCAAATACAAGTCAGAAGACCCAGGGTCCCAATCCTGGCTCTGGGGTTTGCTTATGAGCCAGCTGTGGGCAGGGCATGACTTTTCTGGGCTCGGCTTCTTCAACTGGATTAGATGTTAGGATGGTCACGCTAGTTACGAGACTCATGTACTCTGCTCCTAAGCTGGCTTTTAAGCCTAAAAATACATTTCAATTTTAAAACATTCTGTTTCAAAACTCCTTGGGAAACACAGAGCCGAGCCCATACCTTGGTCGGTCACAGCTGGGTGCCAGGCTTTGCTGGTCCCACTCCCAGGAAACCAGAGAAACACAAGGGATTAGCTTTCGCAGGACAGACGCCACACGCTCGTCTCACTGCACCATGGAGGAGTCACACGGCTGAAGCGTCTGTACATAGCGCTTCCTGCTCCCAGATGTTTCCATCCTAAATCCAGGATGTTGCTCTATTTAATGTAAAACCAGCGCCCCATAAAGGAGCCAGCGAGGTGCGTCCCGAGGCGGGCTCGGCTCCTGGCTTGGTCACTGACTCCCTCCCTCCTCTTCTGGGACATGAAAGGTGCTGCCAGCTGGCCCGAGGCCCCCGGGGCATGCGAAATAAACAAGAGCACACTGTGAGGTGGAGAATGGGAATCCGCGGCCTCCCAACATCGGTTCTACCGATTCTGACCCCACAGCTCTAAGGCCCCGTCCAGACTGAGGACCCTCTAAGGGGCCCTATCTCAAGGGCGCTCTTCTCTGCTGGCCCTACACCTGGGAGAGAACGTCCAGCGTGAGGCACTGGTGTTTTGGGGGACCAGCTCAGCTGCTCTGGCTCAGCAGCAACGTCACTGAGAGGCCGAGGCCTCCAAAGCTTTCCTAGGTGGCTTACAGACATCAAGCCGTGTTTCCACGAGGAATTTGGTGATCACCAAGGAGAATGAAACGCTTTCTGGGAACCATCTTTTCTTTTGTGAAGAAAAGGGAGGGAGGGGAGGGAAGGGAAGCCACATGCTGGGGAGAGGGAGGCTGGCTTTGGTCCCTTCTCTGACAGATTCACCAGTGACGAGGGCTGGAACTCCCTGTGAAGGAGAGGGGTCAGAGAGACGCCATGGGATGGAGATGCAGGAAAACAAGTCCAGGAAGAAAACCCCTCTGGCTACCCAGCGGCCCTATGGACATCTCCGAGGGCTGGCCACGGGGAAGGGCTGGCACTTCTTCAGACCAGACACAACCGTCTCATCAGACCCAATGACTATTCACTGGAAGAGACTGTCCAAAGTAACCGCAACCTTCAGTGTTCCACGGCTGGTCATGAACATGTGAAAATAAGTGACGTCTGGGCTGTCACAGTAGGTCTGGGATGGGGAGAGAGCAAAAGGCCACGGGGAGCCAAGCGTTTCCCTCTTTTTGCAATGAGACCAAGACCTGGAAAAAAGGAAAGAGGCCCCATCGAGGTGGAGGGGGCAGCGAGAAAGTCACCTGGACCACGGCATCCTGGCTGACCGTGGGACTGAGCAAGTGGCAGAAAACAAGAAGGGAGGGAGGGAGGGAGAAAGGGAGAAAAGAAAGTGAGGGAAGGAAGGAAGGGAAGGAGGGAAGGAAAGGAAGTGAGGGAGGAAAGGGAGGAAAGGAAGTGAGGGTGAGGAGGAAGGGAGAGATGGAGGGAGGGAGGGAGGAAGGGAAGGAAGTGAGGGAGAGAAGGAGAAAGGAGGGAGGAAGGAAGAGAAGAAAGAAAGGAAGGAGGAGTGGAAAGAGGAAGGAAGGAAGGAAGGAAGGAAGGAAGGAAGGAAACACTCATTTATCTTGCATCTACCATGTGCTGGGCACAGTGCTAAGAGCTTTACAAATACTCTCATTCAGTCCTCATAAAAACCCTGTGAAGCAGGTGCTATTATTACCCTTACTTCACAGAGGAGGGAAGGACTTGCCCAGGGTCAAACAGCTATTAGGTGTCTGGGGTGAGATTTGAACTCGGGTCTTCTTGACTCCAGGGAAGAAGCCCAGAAATGATGAGGAACCAGCAGGACAAAAGGAAAGGCCTGGAGACAGTTCTCAGAACAAGAGACAGAGAGAACGCAGACAATGATGGAAACGGCCATGAAATGAAGACAGGAGGAGATGGGGGAGGGGAGGCCCCAGGTGACCCAGAGGGGCTCCCTGAGCCCAACCCGCAAGTCTCCTCAGCTGCATTTCCTGCCTCCACCACCACCGCCTAGGCCTGCCCTGGTCATCCTCCGCCTTCAGGCAGCCTTTCCACTGTCCACCCAAGGCCTCTTTGTTCTTCCTCAGTGGCTGGCTGGCTTCTCCCCCTGCCCGTCTACCAGTTACTGGTGGCTTGAGAGCCAAACCCCATGCCCTCTGCAACCTTCACTAACACTGGGCATCAGAGGGACCAGATGCTCCTCTGCTCCGTCGTCCTTCCCTCTCCAACACCCGCTCAACACATGCCGCCACAGACACGTCCCCGCAGTGTTCCACCAACACCACAATCTCACAGACACTGAAAGCCAGCGCAGTCCCCTGTCCTCCCCTCCTAAGCCCGGCCTGTTAGCCAGGCAGGCTCCCACCCATGGTGCCTACCTCTCCTGGCTCCCTGTGGCCCCCTATTGACACAGGCCACCCCGGCCATGGCCTCAATGGGCTTTCCTGCCTCCAGACCCCTCCCTTTCCTAACCAGGGCCACTCTTCAGAGGCTCACTTCTGCCCAGCCCAAGCTGGCGCCTTCACAGGCTCTTCCTGCTTTGTGCACGTGATCCATCACAGCCCTTCTCCCGGCCCCTCCCGAAGCAGGGCGCATAACGAAATGGGGACCAATGGGTACAGATGACAAGAAGATAGACGTAGGCCCTGCTGCCACTGTGGCCTGGCTGGCCAAGTGATGGGCCGCCTGCAGGGAGGATTCCTGGCTTGGGATGCAGGGTGACAAGGACAGAGCCTCCTTGAAGATGCCCAGAGGCTCTGGTCCCACGGATTTCAGGTAATCCATAAGCCCTGCTGGCAGAGACCTCGGCACTGATGGTCTCAAACCACCACATCCCAAGCCAAAGAAACCCGACCCCGCAGACGAGTGGCTCTCCCCAGTTCCCCTGCTGGGCCGGGGAGGACGGAAGCACTCCAGGGCACCGAACGTCCTGACGAGAAACAGAGCCCAGCATCCATCCTGCTTCTGATTTGGGGAAGCTGCTTTTCAACACGATCCGGCAGCGCCTTGAGGCCGCCGCTACAAGGTTCCACGCCACGGCAGCGAGCGTTCAAATCCAGCCCCCAAATTACCGTAACTGATTGGAGAAGTCGTCCTCGACGTTGTCATCATCCCAATTATCTTCCCAAACATGTGCATCCTCGTCTTCATCTAAACCAGCCCAGTCTGAAAAGAGAACCAGATGAGGCCTGAGAAGCTGACGTTTATGAGTTCCATGAAGACAGAACGTGAAGAAAGTCGAAGGTGATCTGACCGAAACAGCCCACATCCCTACTAGAGAAAACACATGAGGACGCGCAGGGCCCACCGAGAGCGGGCTCCTGGGATCTGTCTAAGGGGCCAGGCAAGGGGGGTGCAGAGAGACCATTAGAGGGCCCCTTCTGAGGCTGGGGCTGCTTGGGAGCAGGGCAGCCCCCTCGTTTCCAGGGTCACAGCAGGGGAGATCATAAACTTAGGGAACCTGACACAGGAACCAGGCCTGGGTCTGTCTCTGACGGGAGGGATGGCACTGAGAAAGATGGGGAGGGGGCAGGCAAAAAAAGGGGTACCCATGGGCAGAGCACAAATGGAGTGCAACAGGGCTTCCAAAGTGCTTTAGAAATTACTGCCTCTCACTCTCAAAACAATCTTGTCAAGTAGGTGTTGCTATTATTTTTTAAATTAATTAATTTATTTTTAGTTTTCAACATTCACCTCTATAAGTTTTTGAGTTTTAAATTTCCTCCCCCTCCTCCTTCCCCAAGATGGCATGTAATCTGATATAGGCTAGTAGGTGTTATTATTGTGCCCATTTTACATATGAGGAAACTGAGGCCCAGAGATGCCAAGTACCTTGCCCAGGGTCCCATGGTCTCTAAGTGTTCGAGGTGGGCTACAAGTCCAGGCTGTCTTGATTCCAAGCTGGGCATGCTAACCCAACTTGGATTTTCAATGACTGCAGGGAAAGAGGTGCACGCTGCTGGGGCCAGGAGGGGAAAGGGTGGCTCCGAAGGAAGCTAAGACAGCAACAACCTGGCCAGCTAGGGACGCCGGGCACAGCGGGAGGCCGAGGGAAAGGCCTGCATCTGGAGCGAAAGACACACAGGCAGGGCTCTCGCCGCTCCCCTAGCCAGCGTCTGTTCAACTGCTGGGTTGCACAAAAGCACTGCAGCCATCCCTGACCGACAACCCCACAAAGGGCCGACGCCAAGGCTCCGAGTGTTGTGGGAGTGCGGCCAAGGAGAGGAGCTCAGGGTGCACCTGCACCGGGCCCTGAAGGCTCTGGACAGGCGGAGCCATGGAGGGTGGGAGGCAGCCTGTGAAAATGCCCAGGCAAGGGAGGGCGCTCAGATGACACTTTATCCTGGAGGGAGGGATCTGGCCAGGATGGGATCATCCTGGCACGAGGTAAGCTCTCTGACAGCAGCACTTGCCCTGGCACACAGGAGGGAAGCGGCACAGCCTCTGGACATGGGCTTCAGGAAGGCGTGAGATTTTAAATCTGGACACGGAAGCTGGGAGAAGGGGCAGCCTTAGGAGACGTCCAGAAAACCACAGGAGATTTGGTCCTGGCGCTCGCTCCAGACGCACGCCCCCCACCCCAGCTGCCGAGTTAGTAATTCCGAGGCATCTTCCTGTACCCCCCAAAGACCCTCTGGCTGGCTTCTCAATCTGCTGAACAGGGACAGCCAGTCTTGTAAAGGCCTCGCCTGACATGGGAACCTCCCACAACCGCGGGGGGGCTGCCCAAGTCTTACTGCGTCTGAAGGAGGGATTCGGGTCTTCCTTCACTAGGCCCACAAGCAATCCACTTTTGCGTTCAGCAAGTTCACATTTCCTTGGCCGGATCATAATTTTTTATCTTTCCACCTCTCCTCCTCAACCTCAGACCTCTTTTGGACGCACTGAGTTTACTCCATTTTTTTCTGTCTTTTAAAAAAAGGATTCTTTTTTATGGAGGATGGTTCTCTAGGAGGGACACGGGGGAAATTTACTCAACATACAGACAAGAGAGCAATGAAAATCCATTTGAAAAATAAACTTTATATATAAAACTGAACTAAAAACACACCACCCCAAATTTATGCCATTCTGTGGCTTGCTTTTAAGTATTTTAAAATGCATGAGTTAGAATGATTTCCCTACTAACCTATTAGTCAAACTATAACACAGTTAAGACCATTTCAACCTGGGAACAAGGAGAATGACTAATAATGAGGATAAAAGCATAATTGAGCATTTCGGGATGTACAAGGCCTACGACGACTTGAATTTTGACACTCAAGACGACCAGGCATTTCTACCATTTACACCGTGTACCTGGGCCCATAGGCTGTGAGCCTCTAGACAAAGTAGAGGCCACACGTGGCTAGGCAGAGCCCATTAACCCAAGACTCCTCCAGATTCTGGCAAACCCACCGAGCCCCTCATCGGTTCTTTAGAGTCACCAATTAGGGCTGAAATCACCATCTGTTTACTATTAGACTCCACCAACTTCCTGCCTCCAAGCACCCAGGCTCCCAAGGCAGGGCCTCCTTTCCACAGCAGGAAAGAGAAACCAACAAAAATAAAATCCAAGCTTCTGACCCAGACACACGAATCACAACGTCCTCTCAAACAGGCTACACCTTCATAACCTCGTCTGCATTCCCTTCCAGACCTTGTCACTTCTAGTAAAGAAGGACCAGAGAAAGCTGCCTATCACAGGTAGAATGTCCCAGGCAGGGATCCGTCCCCATCTACACTGTCCCTCTCCCACAGGGATCTGTCCCATCCACATTCCTTCTGCCTGCAGGGATCTGCGCCCAACTACACTGTCTCTCTGCCCACAGAGGGATCCGCGCTCGTGATCTAAGCCATAACATGGGAAATGTTTATTTTTCAGTAAACAGAAGATCTGGTGCTTTTCTCGGTTCCCCTGAGACCCGGTCATTTCACAAAACGCTCTGGGTAAACTGACCAACAATCATTTTGTTCTTCCTGAGGACCGAGCACATCAGAAAGGGGGACGAGGAGGAAGCAGCAGGTAAAGGGTGTCATCCTTCCCAAACAGACACTGGAGCCACGGAGTCAAGGTCTGGCGGCCTCCCACTAAACCAGAACGGACTAGGCCGCGTCGGCAATGACGGCACGGGAGCCTCGATGCCCGCCCAACACAAAGTCATCAGAGCCCCCAGAAGACCTTGGTTTGGCCACTAGCAAGCTGTATCCCCTTCGCCACTCTGCACCAGACTGAGGGTCCTGGGCCCCTCTGGCAGCCCGGGGAAGCCCTCGAACCCCTGCTCAGAGTGAGGCGAAATGTGCAAATCCAAACACACAGACATGCACAGAAAACCCAACTCTTGCAACAAGGACGTCACTGTTTCCCCCGTGAGTTCCCACACCGAGCCCTGGCACCTCAACGGTCTCTAACTTCCCAGGAGGTCCCTGTGCAAGGCCTGGCCACTCAGTAGATACAACACAGGATCCGGCCGGAGCCTGTCCCTCGGTGGCTGTGGCGCTCCATGCGGTACCATCATCAGGACCCACGAGGGGTGCCTCGGGACCGGACGGGATGTCTCACAGGGCTCGGGGCCCCGAGATGCACCAGAACAGCCGTGGATGGAAAATAAGCAGGAGCAGACCCCTAACACTCACTTTCAAACAAACTCCGCTCGCTCTCCCTCCGGCCAGCTTCACTCCGTGACCCTCCCCAGCCTACAGGACCACAGTCTATCCACAGGAGACAGGGAAGGCTTTCCTACAAAGGAGGGGTGGCTATCTCTACTGGTGGGGGGCCCACACAACATGGACATTTGCTGTCTTCAAAGTCCTTTGGGGGCTTGGAGCCTCCTCCGAGAGGCTGGCAGTCCCTGCAGAGATGCTGCTGCAGATTGGATCGAGGGTCTCCACGGGCTACCTGTGCTGCGGGCGACACTCGGGACGACTGCCGCCGCCGCCGCCAGCTGTCAACTTCCCCCAAGAGGGGTCGGACATTCGATGTGATGGATCTGAGGATCCTGCGGAACTCCAGGCTGTGAGAGGACCTCTACCGCACCCAACTTTTCCCTCTGCCATCGCAAACCAACTATTGCTTGTTTCTTTGTCAGAGTACTCGAGCCACGTACACGAACCTGGTCCCCATCGTTCAAGACAGTGTTCACGTGACTGTCAGACTCCACAAAACGGGGCCGCCGTCTTCCTTCGCCTGCAGCGGAGAGCTGAGTCCCCTGAGGCTGCGTTGTGACAAAGCTACTGCTGAATTAAGGAGAAGAGCTAAGCAGAGAGCTCTTGGGGCTCAGCGTGAAGGACACCCTCATGTCCATAAAGTCAGAGCAAAAGAGGGTCTTTAAACACAAACTTCTGCTTACCTAAATGAGTTTGAGGAAACTGCTGTCCTAGGAAAGGGCGGGTACAGGAAAGCAGACAAGGTCAAGAACAGATCAGGTAGGCAATTTTATGCAAGTAAAACAATTCTGATGAAGAAAGCCACTAAAAAGGACTGTATGAAGGTACTCTGGGTCGGTCAGGTGCCGGCAGGTCTGCGCCACCCTAACATCCTAGGCTATCCCACAGCCTGGAGAGAACACGTTCATTCTGCCCAACCACAAAGATGAGAGACTTTCTGTTGTCAAGTCGCCATCTCTCCAGCTGGTATCGATGAGACGCAGGACAGCGATCAGTGTCATGGTCAAAGTGATGAAAGGAGTAGCTCATCCATTATTTTTGCTGATTTGGACTCAGAAAAAGAAAAATTCTTTGCAGGAACTTGGAATAACAGGCTAGTAAACTATACTGATTCGATCACGAGAGATGCCAACGAATATGAGTCACAAGAAGATTGCTTAGCTGACACATCTACTAGATCACTTGTTAAGCATCACATGCTTCAAGAGAGTAATTCAGACCTAGAAGAGAACTTTTCATCCACTGAAGAATCTCCTGAAGAAAACTGAGCCTTGCTCGGGCAGACTGAGGTAAAGGATCACCTTATGCTCCACACTCTGATGCAACTATCTGAGACTGGATTATTGATCAGAATAAAAATAAGGGATCATTCGTAGGTGAACCTTCCTGCATCAGGAAAGAGTTTTCAAAGAAACAGGATTCTAAGAGACAGAGGTCCTTCTGTTACGGGCAGTGTGCAACAAAAGTTTCAAGAGCTACTGGAAAGTGTATATTATATACATAACCCAGGAGTGGTACACAGAGATCTCAAGCCCAGAAATACCCTTCTTCAAGGCCCTGACCATCATGTAAGAATAGGAGATTTTGGTCTAGCTTGTACAGACACCATTCAGAAAGACACAGAAGGGACCAGGAGAAATGGGAAAAGACCGACACACCCTTCAGGAGAGGGGTACTAGCCGCATGCTTCACCAGAACAGCTGCAAGGATCTGAATACGATGCCTAGTCAGACACGTCTAGTGTGGGGGTGATTCTTCCAGAGCGCTCTCAGCCATTTGGAACAGCAAAGGAAAGAGCAGAAGTTTTAACAGGCTTAAGAAACGGTCAGATCCCAGAATCACTCAGCCAAAGACGTCCGATATGAGCCAAGTACATAAAGCAATTAAGGAGGAGTAACTCATCACAGTCACCATCTGCTGAGCAGCTCCTGGAAAGTGAACTCTTTCCAAATCCTGGGAACGGGAATTATGTCCTACAGAAGAAAAGAAATTGAAAAGCTCAAGGAAACTATAAGATTCCTTTCTCTGGAAAAAGGTATAAAGGAAGACGTGAGAGAAAGTGAGGGTTCTCCAGTCTGAGCCGGATAGCTGTGGACAAGAATGGGCACAATAATTTTTTAAGAAGTATTTGTTGTTAATTTTGTTGGATCTATTGGAATATAAATATGTTTTACAAATTTGTGTATGGTTGAGGCCATTCTTTTCTGTATAGGTTTTAATTTTCTTAATCTATATGTACAGAGTAACGTTAAAATCAAGACTTCACACCTATAAATAAAAAAAGAAGTCCTTTGGGGAAAAATTCTGGAGAATGAGCTTCGCCCCAGGCCAGGAAGAAGGCCTCTCCAGTCTCCCTAAAACCTGCCTCCTTCCTGAGCCCGCGTGGACCTGCAGGAGCTTGTCTGCACGAAGCTGCTGGCGGCTCTGAGGACAGGGCCCGGGGTCTGTGCACAGAAGGTGTTGACGAGTGCTTGCTGACTTGTCCTGACCGGGGTCTGCGAAGCCGTACTGACTGGTGTCAGAATTCTGGAACCTAGCAGCGACAATAGAGCACCTACTGTGTGCCGGGCACAGGGCTAGGAGCTTCGCAAATCTTATTTCCTTGGAACGTCACGACAACCCTGGGAGACAGAAGCTACTTTTTACATGTATCTGTATTTGTTTTCTAAATAATCTCCTATGGATTGTGCATACCTACATATTCACTTAGACACACACATACTCCCTCGCTGAGGCCCCTCCACAGCCCAGTCTTCTCATGCTCTCATCTGATCTCCAAGCCGTCAGGGGGCCTAGGGATGTACTTTCAGGCGCTTCATAAACGCTTGTTGACTGAATAACACATCACAAAGGGAATACGACAAAACCCATGCTGGCCTTTTCAGCCACAACCTTTTAAAACGATTTGCTGGAAATGAGGGCCAGCCTCTTCTCTGGTCTACTTGACCTGAGTTTTAGGTCCGGGGAGCTACCTGGGGTGGGGGTGGGGAGGTAAACCCACCCTCTGCAGTCTAGTCAGGTCAATGACCTCCTAGATAAACTGAGGCAGGATGGGGGAAGCTGTCCTTAGCCCCATTCTACAGACAGGAAAAGTGAGGCCGGCAGAGAAGAAGCGACTTGTCCAGGGTCACACAGTCAGTATCTGAGGTCCTGCTGACTCTGGCCTCTGTAAAGGGGGGGGGGTGTCACTTAGTATTTAGAAAAGCAGGCCAGGGTGTCCCGGGTCAGGAAGGGGCCCGCTCGGGCCCTGCACAGCTGGGTGGCCCCGAGGGGTGAGGGGCGCGGCACCCCGACCCTCCCGATGTGGGAGACCCCGAGGCCAGCCAGCGAGCAGGACGCCCCCTCCTCTCCCGCCTCCGCGCACTTGCACCGGGCCGTGCCCCACGCAGAGCCCCTCCCCCTCCCAGGGCCAGCTCAAAGGCCGCCTTCTCCAGGAAGCCTTCCCAGCCCAGGGCCCCGCGGCATACAGCAGGCGCCTAAGCCGTGGGGAGGAGCGGGAAGGGTCTACACTAGCCCCTCAGAGAGCGCCTAGCGTGTGCACGGGCCCACCGGGACGGGAGGCCCCGCGGGGCGGCCAGGACGCCGGGGTCAGGGGTCAGGGGTCAGGGGTCAGGGTCGGCCCACTCACCTTCGGCCGGGAACTCCTCGAACTCGTCGTCCTCCTCCAGGAGCCCCAGGTCCACCGGCTGCTTCTTTTCCGACATGACGCCCGCCGCCGCTGTGCTCATTGCGCCTGCGCCGCGCGGAGCAGGCCGGGAGGGGGAGCGCAGCCCGCCCCGGGACGCGGCGGCAGCGCGCATGCGTACGCACGAGCGCACTTGCTCGGAGAGCTCGAGGCGGGGGCGGAGTCGGAGGGAACGGCGGAAGGGAGAGCGAAACGTCCTCCCGGCGTCCCTCGCGCGAGACGCCCTGGCCTCCGGGAGACCGCGCCGCCTGTGACGTCATGCGGTGAGCAGGCGCCAGGGCCGGGAGGGGGGGGCTCGCGAAGGGCTGCGGTCACCGTGCGCGTGCGCAGTATGCAGTTCGCGCTACCCATCCCACCCACGCCTCCGCCTCCGGAAGCCCGCCCTGATTCTCTAGGGGTAAGCGCTCCTAGGGGTGCCCACCCCACGGCAGAGTGGGAGCTGCTTGGGGGCGGTTCCATTCATTCTTGATGGCTGGAGTCTCTTCAGCGCCCGAAGGTTTGCAAAGCACCTTCCACGCATCATCGCGGTTTCCCTAGAGAGCGCGGGTTACTGTAACACCCCTTTATCTTGGGGGAAACTGAGGCACAAAGACGTGAAGCGACTTTCCGGGACCACACCGTGGAGAAATGGAGGAGGCTGAATGTGAACCCAGGTCCAGGGCCTCCTGGGCCACCCAGCCCCTTCATATGTGGCCCCAGGGCCTGGCAGAGTCGGGGCTGAATAAACCTTTGTGGGTTGGTTACATTGTAACGCATCCGCGCCCCCGGGATGGTCGCATAATAAAGCAGGCCTCTGAGCTCTGCCGGCCCCCCACCTTGGAAGGGGGCCTTGGACAGTTTGGGAACGTGCCCCCTGAGCACTCCCACATGAGGGGCTACTTTTCAGAAGCCCCCGCACTCACCTCCGGGGCTGGGGGTCTGCCTGCCTCTTTTAGCAATAAAAAGCTGCCTTTCAGTTCCTGGCGCTGTCCCGAGGGGTGGGGGTGCTGCCTGCCTCGGGCATCCCAGTGGGCAGCCTGCAGAATGCTCCACAGGAGAGCCCTAGGGGTCTTCAAAGACCTAAAGATTATATCAAGGACAGGAAAGGCAGCCCATGAGTGGATGGATAGATAAATACGTGAATGGATGGATGGATGGATGGATGGATGGATGGATGGATGGATGGATGGATGGATGG